TTTTTTTTTCACATTCTGTCTCTCACAGTTGAAGTGTACCTCTGGTGCAAATTACTGACCTCTGTCATCATTTTGGGTGGGGGAACTTGCACAATCGGTGGCTGACTAAATACTTTTTTGCCCCACTGTACATATTTACTGAATAAATAGGCAAACACATGATAAATAGTGTTTGTTAATAAATAAACCATATGCACATGTGTTGTGCTGATAACAGAAATGTTGAATGGTGACATTTGTAAAAAAAAAAAAAAAGAAATGCTGATATTAGTGAATAAAAAATATTCCATTTATTAATCATATAAATTTACTCCATCTGTCATAGATGTAAAAATAAAATAAATGATCTAGTCCAAAGTTCAAATGGTGAACATTGTATTGACGTCCAAGTTAGATCATGTTTGACGTCCAAATGGACGTAGTATGCATGTCCAGATTAATCCAATACAGACAAGATCTGCACGTGAGTTAACATGCGTTATGGATTGTACCTTTGATCACTCATTCACTTATTAATAACTCATTTTAAATATTGTGCTTTGAATCACCTCTATAATTCATCTGAAGACAATGCTGAAAGAACATATTATTTGGCTCCCAGCTGCACCAGCGTCTGTAGTTGAAACGGCTCCCATCAGTCCACAACCAAACACCCTCCTAGAAGACAGAAATTAATTGCATTATGTAGACAGGTCAAAATTTGAAGCGTAGTCTTCTCAGATCAGCTGACTTCAGTACAAGTACGTAACTTTCCATGTAACTAACTGGCAGATTTCACTTAGTATTGAGGCCCAAGTTAGGTCATGGTTGAATGTCCGAATGGATATAGTTTGCATGTCCAGAATTGTCATGCATTGATGAACCCAATACAGACACACACATTAAGAGCTCATTTTAAATATTGTGCTTTGAATCACTGAAGAAGTCACTTGGATGAGTGACGAGATGTTTCTGCCACTGAAAACGCTACATCCAGATGAACATAATCAACTTTTGGGGGTAATGAATGCTTGAATTCCTTTTTGAGCATCACTCTGTTTGCTTCTAATTTTAGAGATTTTTTCTAAATGGAAGAAAGCTGTCATATATAAATATGCTTCATGTGCATTGAGACATCATGGTCAAAAACCACTCCAAGTTTCCACCGAGTTTTGCTGGAGACAAAGATAATGCCATGCCAAGATAAAGCATCTGGTTAGACACTACAGTTTTTAAGAGTTTTCGGGCCGAGTACAATAACCTCAGTTTTATCTCAATTTAGCAGCAGGAAATTTGAGGTCCTCCAGGTATTTATGTTTTTGAGACATTCCTGCAGTTTGCCTAATTATTGTGTTATCTGGCTTCATGGAAAATTAAACTTGGGTGTCGTCTGCATAGCAGTGAAAATGTAGACTGTCTAATGCAGGGGTCCCCAATCTCAGTCCATGAGGGCCGGTGTCCCTGCAGGTTTTAGATCTCACCCTGGGTCAACACACCTGAATCACATGATTAGCTCATTACCAGGCCTCTGGAGAACCTCAAGGCATGTTGAGAAGGTAATTTATCCATTTAAATCAGCTGTGATGGATCAAGGACACATCTAAAACCTGCAGGGACACCGGCCCTCGTGGACTGAGATTGAGGACCCCTGGTGTAATGTGTAATCATACTACTAAAGGGAAGTAAAGTAAGTAAAGAGAATTGGTTCTAGCATATAATGCTGTGGAACTCCATATTTAACCTCAGTATGTGAAGAGGACTCTCCATTTACATGAACAAATTGGAGTCTGGTAGACACATATGATTCAAAATACTGCAGAGCAGTACCTGTATTACTTACATCATGCTCTCTGTTGTATTTCTTCTGGCAACCACCAAATGCAGACTCAACCATCAGACTAACAGATGGAGAAGCGTGATTCATCATTCCAGAAAACACATCTCCATTGCTCTAGGGTAGGGGTCTCCAACTCCATTCCTTGAGGGCTGCTTTCTTGCATCTTTTCTATGTGTCCCTGTTGCAAAACACCTGAATACAATTAGTAGGTCATTAGCAAGACTCTGCAGAACTTGACTGCAGGCTGAAGTGGCAATTCAGCCATTTGATTCATGTTACAGAAGCTCATGAGTGAATGAACATGGTGCGATACAAGGACTTTTACAAGTGTATTTTTTCAAAATACTTAAATTTACTTGAGTAGGGTCAGGGGTTGCCACTTCAGCATGCAGTCAAATTCTATACTCTTGCTAATGACCTACTAATTTTATTCAGGTCTTTTGCACCAGGGAAACATGGAAAGGTTTCAGGACAGCAGCCCTCAAAGACTGCAGTTTGAGACCCCTGCTCTAGTGTTTAGTGGTGGTTTGCTCCAACTGCATCTAGCGCTGGTGTAAGGCTTGAAATGCTTAGCCATGCAAAAACATTCCATACATTTTTCTACTCATTGTTCTTGAGCTATCGTAAGGTCACATGAAGGTTGAAGGTTTGTAGCCAGTGGATCTGCAGAAAATCAGTCACTTGCACACTATTCAGCATCCACTGAATCCACTCTGTGATTTTACATGGCCGATTTGTTCTGGTTCTAAATCGCTTCCATTTTGTTACAATACTACTAACAGTTGACTGAAACATTTAGTAGCTGGGAAATTTCATGACTGAACTTGTTGCACATGTAGCATTTTATCACGGCTTAATGCTGGAATTCGCTGAGTTCCCGAGAGTGATCTGTTCTTTCACAAATGTTTGTGGCAGCAGTCTGCATGCCTAGGCGCTTCATTTTATAGACCTGTGCCCATTGAAGTGATTATAAAACCTGAATTCAATGATTTGGATGGGTGAGTGAATACTTTTGGCAATATAGTTATGAACATAAAAGAGATATCTAATATCATTAGACAGAGGTTCCTGAAAGTGTAAATTAAAATTTTCTTTTCACTATGCAGTAGAGAGCCTGAATGAATTCAACAGACACCTTAGAAATAGTATGTAATGATAAACAAATTACATTGGGTGCATCAGTTCCTCCAAGCCAAGCTTCTGTGTAGCCGTAAGGGGCAGTCAGCCTCTGAATCTCACGGTACTCCCAGCTGCTGTGCACTGATGCAAGGTTTGCCCCCATGTACAAGCAGTTTATCTTCAATAGAGACAGAGAGCAGAGGTTTTCAAAGTAACAAGTAAGTAACAGTTAAAATTATGTGGTTTAACCAGGTGTTAAATACAATACAAATAAAGGAAAGTTACCTCAGCATTAGCCCAGTTCATTAGTGCTGGAACGTAGCGAAAGCAGCGACCACTAATCCAAGTCCAACCATGGGGACAATCAGTGGACCTCTTGACGACGCGACTCTTGGCTGGGAGTAAATGAAGAGCTCTACATGTTTCGTTGGATAATATCTTATTTTATGTTATTTTTAATCATCATATAAATAGAATAGAATGTGTCTTTATTGTCACTGTTACAAGAACAATGAAACACATTTTGCCATCTCTCTGTTAGCAGCATGCAAATTTCTACACAAAAACGCTTTTAGAATAAGAGAAGAAAAAAGAAAAGAAAAAAAAACCAAGAGAGACAATAAAGAAAATTGACTTAAAGTTTAAGAGCTGCCTACACAGCGAATGTATGTAATAATGTAAGTATCTACACAGACATGTACAAGTTATATATGCTATATAAATGAGTGGGTGGAATGTAAGGAGCAAGTGATGACTTCAATTTAAGGTGCAATGTGATTGGTGGTGCACATTGAGTAAGAGGTAGGACTAGAGGTAGGAATGCTGGGTAGAAACTTTTATTGAGTCTCTTTGTCTTTGTCCATTAACTGAACTGAAACAATAACTAAAGTTGTACAAGTAACAATTTCACAATGAAACATTAGTTAAGTGATTGGCAGTTTACAGCTGCACGTATGCATACAAAATGCAGGGCATTCTGGCTTTCTCAGAGTTATAGATTTTAGTTCTATGCATGCAACTGTAAGCTCTGTAATTATTATGACATTATTCTAATTATAACAATATTAACTTCTCAGTTATCTTGAAAAAATACAAAGTGATTTCACAAACAAACAATATCAGGGAAGAAGGTAAATTACAACAGGAAGACAAGCAGGAAGGTTAAACAAAGCTGAAGGACCCTGATGGCAAGGCCTGGTCAACTTGTGATTCAAGTATCACCTTTAAAATATCCAGATCCTTGAATACACCATTTATATTTGAATTCAGCTCAGTTCAATTCAGTTTTATTTATATAACACTAGGACAGCTCCATCAAGGTGCTATATATTGTAATACCCTACAATAACACAGAGAAAACCAGACGACCCCATTTGAGCAAGCACCTGGCGATAGTGCGAAGGAAAAACTCCCTTTTGATGAGAAGAACGCTCCGGCAGAAACAAGCTCAGGGACAGGCAGACATCTGCCACAACTGATTAGGGATGAGGAGAGGCAGAAAGGACAAAAACAGGATGTGGAAGAGACACTACGGTACAAACATTGAGGTGGTGTTTCTCTTAATTTTGGTCAAGGGCGTAGATTTGGCATGGACGGAAGGGACATGTCCCCACCAATATCCGGCGATTATTGAATTGTCCCCACCAATAATTTGATTTCTTCGAGTAAAAAAACAAAAAAACCCGATAGAAAGAAAAAACGATCTGTCAGCGTCTCATTCACCCAGCGGTGCAGAAAGAGTGAAATTACGTTCTCTACTGGAGTCCTACGTCATGTGACAAATATGGCCAATGTGATTGGCTGTGCTTTTCAGTGAGCTCTGTTTAGTTTTAGCAGCGGCAAACCTGCGCTGAGAGGAGGATGGCAGCAAAGACGAAGAATCTGGATATAAGAAATTATTTTTCAAAGAAACCTGTAAGTCACTTAAACTCAAGTTCGCTCATAAAATGTGTCCGTCATAATAACGTTACAGGCTATGCTAGGCTATGGCCCACATCAGTCTAAAATTGTATGTAACCATGAATAACGTGTTTTGGAAACTAACTGCACAACATGCAGCACTGTTAGTTCTCTCAGTCTCAGAGCAGCATTTCTAATTTTGATTGAAACTGTCAGAGAAAACGGCAGCCTCGAGCGAGCCAGGATATTAGTTTACAGAGGCTGTTAAAATTATGTCTAACGTTAAAATGTTGGTGACACAATAATTTCATTCTAATGGTACTGACATATTCATAGGGTTAATTTTTGAGACAAAATATCATGAGGTAGTCATGATTTTGCAAATATTCCACCTTGTAGTGCAGTTTGCACAAATTGTTTTAAAAATGCACTCAGCCTACAAACATTACTGATGAGTCAAGGTCTGCACAAAGTGACAGAAACACTGAAGCAGCTTCACATTTTATTCTTATTGTCATCGATGTCCTATTTGTCAGGTGACAGAAGAACCAACACAAAGCTCAGAGAGTAATGGTGACACAAGATCACAGGTGAAATTGGATGATGACTTGATGGTTCATGACTGTATTTGAAGCACATGTGTGACTGCATGTATGTGGAATGGCTCACTGTTATTCATCAGGTGACAGAGGCAGCTCTGCCATGTTGTAGCTCGGACAGAGGTGAAGAGGCGAGGTCACAGGTGACTGATGGTTTGGTGCTATAGATTAACTAGTATTTATTATCATGACAGTTGTTAGGCTGCTGATGTAAATTGTTTCATTAGTGTATGTTTGACTAAGTATCTGAATTGACATGTCTCACTTTTTATATGGCACGAATCAATGTGTTATTTTATCAGGTAGCAATATGTCCTAGTGCAGTCAGAGGGGAAGAGCCAGGGCCAAAGGTGAGGCACATCAAGCACACAATAATACTTTTAATCTGAGGATAAAACGCATGTACTGAGGCTAAAAGAAGCTTCAGTGCTCTCACAAGACTAAAAACATGGCTAAGGTCAACAATGACTCAAATGAGATTAAACAATGCTGCTGTATGTCCACCAGGAGAGACTGGACAGTATAGATGTAAAACAAATATGCTAGCAGTTTATCTCAGTTAACGAGAGGAGAAGGCATGTGTTTGGCTGCTTCACATAGTGGACATTGAGTTGTTGTGTGGGACATGTAGTCCATGTCTGTTGCTGTAACAGTAGTTCATGTTGAGAATAAAAAATCCCAGCTCACTGATCTGATCGGGGCAATAGTGCCTAAAATGTTGCATAATTTTGCTGAGAGATCTTTTACTTTGTGGTAATCTTAGATGAGTAGTTTTATGGACAAAAACCACCAGGTCATTCAGTGTTCCCTTAGTGCTAATGTGTCAGAGATGTTGGTGTAACTGAAGTAATGTTGTTAAGAATAAAGGTCATATTCTTTTATTGTCATGACTCTATTTTTATTTTGGTATGATACCTGATTTATATGGAATATAACTAAAGCCTAAAATACTTAAGTAATTTAACATTATATAATTCACATATAAAACTATGAATTGTAATTTTAAATAGTTTAAAAGCATGTAGAATAGCATATGTAGGAAGTATATTTCTTCTCTTTTTTTTTTTTTATCAAGAAGCAAAGACAAAAAGGGGGAAAAAAAGAAACAGAGCAGAGTTCGGTGGTTGAATCATCCGTCCCCACCAATGCCAAAACCAAATCTACGCCCTTGATTTTGGTGTATGTAGAAAACGTCACTTACCTGGTGCCAAAAATTCCTCTGCCTTATCCCTGGGTTCTGCACATTGAAGACCCAGAGAAATTAAAAAATATTCACTTTGATCATCAGTTTTCTGTATATGATGTTCATAAGCAAAGTGTACATTGTACTATTCATTTGTATGTTTAATGACACTGATCTACATGATGGAAATTATATTGCAATACTCACTAGCAGCCATGGTCAGAACTATTATAGCACAGAAAATTGCACATGCAGTCAGCTTCTTCATGGTGATGTTCAGTATCTGTAGTAAACAGAAAACCCAACGTGAATAACAATTCATTAAAGAAAGAAGGAAAGTTTATTGCAGACCTTTTTTAGACTATCTTCTTTCTTTCTTTCCAAATCTAAACAAAAATAACTGTCTCATACCTAATTGGATTTCCTACTTTTTTCCAATTTTCCTACTTAATTTCACATACTGACTGAACCTCAATAGAGGTTTCATGAGGACAAATACAGAACAATTAACAGTGTCTTGTAGGAAAAGAGCAGTGATGGAAATAACCTCATTATAAGTATTGCCATTACTTTTTTCAGTAACTAGTAATCTAACTAATTCTTATTTCTATCGTTACAACGCCTTTACCTTTACTAACAAGAAAACGCAGGAGCTAGCGGGGCAAAACAATCGCACGAGTGCTGCTGATTGGCTGAGAAAGAAAAGTAGTCATATTAAACCAATCACATGACCAATTTAAGATGACATAGCAATATGTCAACCCAAGAAGAGCCCGAGTGTCCATTTTGTGTTAAAAGTGTGGACTTCAAACTATATATCAGTTTTTGAATTGTGTTGATAGGCCACGTAAAACCAGAGTCATGATAAAAAAAAATATACGCTGTGTTTTTTCCTGAATACTATCGTCATGTTTACTGTCTAAGGACAGTGGTAGCACTTTCTGCTTACAACCAAAAAAAAAAAAAAGAATAGATACATTATTATATTATATTATATATATTATAATATTTTGTGTGCCATCTTATTTGATGCAGGGCATCTGATTGTTCTGTAAATAGTTTGAAATGTTTATTTTAAAAAAAAAAAACCTTGACTGCAATAACTTTGTTGTTTGCAAAGTGTGTGCATAGGTTTTTAAATGTACAATTCATATTTGCATTTTAAGTTATGAAATGCAATGTATGTGTTAATATAATATGTCAAAAAATTTTTTACCATAAATTAAAACGTGTGCGGTTGTGCTGAAAAGAATGATACCGAACAAGGCAAGATAAATAGTTTTTAAAGGTGAAATGTGGAGGTAAAATTAAAAGTAGTCAAAAACAACCAATTATACCCCATGGCAGAGTTGCTGTTCCTTTATCCAGTTAACGTCAGACATAAAGAAAAGTGTGTATGCCCTTGAGCCTTACAGGCCACACAGGGGAGTAGAAGGTGCCATAATAACATTGCTTTGCTTAGTTTTTTTTTTTATCTTTTAAAACATTTCAAATTCATATTTTAATGAATAGACTCTGAGAGGAGTTGACACCTCACGTCACTTCTCATGTAGCGTTGAAGCAAAAGAAACAAAGATGTGATGTGACAAAAAAGGTCCTTCAGCTGGTATATGAGATTACTTGTTACTGACAAGCAATACTCCCTCGATGTCAGCTCAGAGTCTCTTGGCGCACATGGATGGGAGCACA